ACATCTTTTGAGCCGCTTTTGAGAAGCTGACAGTCTCAGTCCTCTCTCTACTGAACCCACAGGATCACAGTTGTATTCACAACAGCCCAGCTCTGAACCCCATCCTGTTCGAAATGAATCCCCCTCAGAGGCTATTTATTTAGAATCCATTTCAATATTATCCTCTCATCCATCTGTACGTCTCCAAAGTAGTTCCTTCCCTTTCGATTTTCCAATGAAACGTAGGCATTTATCATCCCCGGTGTATGCAATATTCCCACCTACCTCATCCTCCTCAATTTCATCTCCTTTATAATATCTGGAGAGCAGCAAAAATTACTAAGCTTGTCACTTCATCACGTTCGCCCTCTTACTATGTAATGCCTCTTATATCCAGACATTAGCCATAACACTTCCTTCCCGCACACCGTCAATAAATGTTCTTGCTTTAGGTGGAGAGACGAGGTTTGGCAGCAAGGAAGAAGAATGGTACCACAACACAGCAAATCCAAGTATGTTTAAGAAATACAACTAGTGTCTTTTCCTTTGGCGCTACAGCCCCAATTTGGGCTTGGTCAACCTCTATGAAACACTCCGTTTCATTTTGGTTTAATATATTTTAGACATTCAGTAGGACTCCTTGGGCGGGTGATGAGCTCGTCGCAAGGCCACTACATGTACACAAACACTAAACATCCATGCCCTGAATTGGATTCGAACCCACGATCCCGGCTTCCAAGCAAAGACAGTGCATGCCTTAGATCGCTCGGCTACCGTGACCGGTTGAAATACACTAAAACTGTTACTGTGTGATAATTCGACTACTAGATAGGGAGATTCCAGCCAGTTATACTGAGGCCAAGTAAAGGAGTAACATGAGCGGCCGGGGTGACGAGCTCGAGGCTTCGGCCTACTTCCTCAAATCGTACTCCCCTCCAGCTCACTCCGGAGTATGTCAAACGACTCAAAACACTTGTCGATAGTGAGCGTTATCACTCTCAGCATTCCTGTGAACAAGATGGCGGGATAACTGGAGGAGGAACCGTAACAGCTGCAGGAGGACGTGCGGACACTGATCACTGGGACATCTTTCCGTGGACTGAGTATAGTTGTTGCAAACCTTCACTCGCTGCTCGGCTTGTAGACCAGTAATAGAGTTTAATTGTATGAGCCCTGCAGATTTAAAACCCACTGCCCCTATTAATCTCTAAAATCCGTTTTGTTATCCCTACAAGGCCCCCTGCGAACCTTTTGTCTGAACATGACACAATGCTTAGTAATAGGCTTAATACATGGCATTCATTACTCATTGCTCTGTGACACAGACCAGACTGGAGCAGCGGCAACGCTCACAACTTGAAGATAATTCAGGCTGTACCCGTTCTGAAACTCAGTCCACATAAAAAGTACACTGACAGGTTCCGCGTGACTCTCCTAGTCCGGCCAGAAGAAACGCTGCAATAGTATCGACACCTCATAAATCTGACCCTAGACGCCATTCATAAGTATATCCTTGAGAATGTAACGAGAGAGCAGCGCAATGATGCAGACGCTTCGCCAAATTGGAGACGCATGAAGCACGCCTGGGAGAGATGACGTATGGGGACAAATATTTAGTGGGAGAACGTGAAGAAAAGAGACACCTTAGGAAACCTAGGCATAGATTGAAGTATAATATTAAAACGAAATAAGGAAAATAAATTGTAGGAGTATGAAATACATTGAACTTACCACTTACCACCTTCAGAAGCCACGAGTTGCTCAGTTACTCAAGAGTTTCCGAACTTTTCTTTTGGAACCCCCAAGGTTCATAACCGTGTTTACAAGAACCTGACAGTGGTCCTTATCCTATGTTAAATCTATCCAGTCCATACAACCCCACCTTATTTCTTTAAGATCCATTTTAACATTGCCATCCCAATTACGTCTAGGTGTTCCTAGTGGAGATTTTCCTTCTGGTTTTCCCACCAAAATCCTGTATGCATTCGTCTTCTCCCCATCCGTGTTATATGCCCTTTCCATCCCATCCTCCTTGACTGCTACCTCTGGAAAACATCTACTGGCAATTTTTATGGACAGGACAATAAAAGCATAAGAATTTTTTGACCAGCCGAACAACCAGAAACTTTCTTAGAAAGGTCCTGTATAACGGAGTTTTATTGGTTAATCAGTTACTAAGAAAACTACATTCTCATGAGCGTTAAGGCCCACTTTAAGCGTCGGTGTTTTCCTTGTGGTATGAGATTTCTGAATTGTATTCAGACACACGTTAATACAGTGCGAAGACAACGGAAATAAACGCGATCAAACATTATTGCACCAAGCAGGTTTCGAATTCCAGACACCAGTGTTCGCGAGAGTGTGTGGCCCTCATCGGTATCAGCATCGTTAGCACGAGAGCTTGTTTTTAATTAAATGCTGTGGAGAAGTAGGGGGAGTATTGCAGCCTTCTGCGATTTCACCACGTATCCTGAACTGTCATCTGCAATGGAACCCGGCTGTCTGCATGCCCAACCATCTGTTGCTTGTCTGTATCACGTATGCACTTCCAGACACGTGACAGTTTACGCATGCGCAGAAGCCCGAGCAACCTGCGTTCCGACAGAACTCACTGAAGCCGGAAAGTCACGGTTGAATAATTAGCTCTTCACCGTATTCGGGTAAGTTCTGGTCTCTATTCTTCTTCCAGAGGTAGACTACACAGCCGGAATTGTCGTGGTTTTCCCCAGTCCTTCGTAACAATTTGAATCCTTCCAGATTCATCAGTCATGATCATCCCTCCCAACAGGGGCTCGAACAGAGTCGCTTGGCGCAGGCGCTAACAGTTACGGCTTGCATACGACAGGTACACGATTAGAATTTCGGCAGAACACTGTCTATCCTGAGGAACTGCTTGATTTTCTTCAGTCTCATCTTTCGAATACCGGTATAGTGCCTTAAAAAGGTCACGACCGGGCCCACTCAAATACTTTGAAATTATTCATTCACTAATTAGCCTACTATTCGACGCTAAACAGTCTGGGCTGTTAACAATGTTGCTAAATGGATCACAATAAAAACAACTGTAGATCCTCAGTATACTGACCGGCCACGGGCTTGGATGGGTCATTTGCAAGTCACGACCAAGTTCAAACGGCCTAGCTGAGGTCCTGGAGCTCGCCAGGAGTCCTGCACTTTGGGTACCGCGAACATTACCACGTGTATCTTCATCTCTATGCCTCTCTGTCTCACTTCTTCCTCTTGCTCCCACTTGGAGCATAGGGCATCTGTGAAACGCTTTGTTTCACTTCAGTTTCTTAATCCTATACACAGTTGGTAGGACCCCTTGGACGGGGGATCAGCTCGTCGAAAGGCCGCTACCTACACACAGAACGACACAAACACAGATATCTATGTCTCATGTGAGATTCGAACCCACCATCCCAGTGTTAGAGCGACCCTTAGACTGCGTCACCACTGTGATCAGCATAACTTCATCTGGTGTCGAGATTAAGAGAGTGTGGGGATTTACCTCCAGCCATGCCCTTGCGCTTCAGCATTGGATAAATATGATAATGGTCATGTGAGTCTAGAAACAAACAAAGCAGGCCTCAATATTCATGTCCCGTCACAGAATGCAGAGCAAATTTGTAATATTAAAATAGCTGAGACTATATGTAGATATAGGACAAAATTCATATACAGCATAGAAAGAAAACTTATAGTAAAATGCAGAAAATAAATTATCCCTGCTCGGATCAGACTTTATATATTTTTATTTCTTTTCCTTTTTTTTTTTTTCCTCCGCCCTCATTTTGACATGGAAATCGAAACACTTATTTGGGTCTTACTGAAACTGCGACAGAGTTGCGCATACTACATAGCAGTGAAAATAACGGATCACTATTATAAGGTCAATGAAATTAAACACGAAACAAGCCCGGGAAATTTTAGACTGTTTTAAATTTGCTGCCATAAAATCTAAATATTAAAATACTATACAGGCCTGAATGTTTTTATGTTGGTCTGTCACAAAAAAACCGGCTCGTGTGGTGTGTTGGAAAAGGGGTATTAAAACCGGTACCTTGACTTTAAGAGAGATTAAATAACCAGTTACTCTTCACCTAATACTGTTGGAGTTTTTCAGATAAGAAGTGTACGGCGAGCGGTCCACATAGCAAGTAAGGAAAAATTAGAAATGCATAAAACAATTCTGACTGAAGACCTAGACTCAAGACACCATCTCGGAGGTGTAGATGCAAATGTGATTAAAATGCTGCTAGAGATCGCAGAAAAATAACAGTCGAAGAACTTTTAATCTTCTTTCCCGTATACAAAATAGGTGATAACTTATTACTCAAAATAAAATTTTCACTAGATTAAGCAGCATTATTTCAACAGATTTTCTTCCAAGAGTTTACTTCTTGAGAATGTGACAATATTAAACATAAGGCGTAAGTTAGGAAATAAGAACAAACATATTTATTTAATGGCCTGCTAAATAAACCTAAAACAAAACCCCAGCGACTTAGTCACAAAATGTTCAAAAAATACCAGTAATCCAGGCTTACCTTACAAAGTATAGTTAGTGCCTCGTAACTTTAGCCGCGCGGAAAGGTAAACGCTGTTGTGGAGCACGAGAAGCTGTGACGTTCAGAGCTACCCCCGAGCGGAAAACATTGCCTACATAGACCAGGAGTAGATACCGCGGAATCGATACAGTGCGGTGCGATTGTCGGTGTGCCATGCCAGTGACACGAACACCACGTAATACAATCGCTATGACTGGTACGAACTAACAAGCAACACAACGTACTATACACCTGACCACAGTCCAAACTGGCAGTACCCTCGCTGACGTTAGCTGATGAGACTGCTCCCCAAGCTCCGCGGGAGATGGTATGACACCTCTACCACGGCTAGAGTTCCAAGGAACTAACAGTACTTACACGGTTAACTTAGAGCGGATATGAAGTGAAGTAAACAAGATGTACTCATGTGAGAATTTAATTTTGAAGGCAGCGGCTATGGAGAATACTCACTTTTGTTCTTGATTTTGACACTCTCTGGTCTGCATAGCAACTCCGCCCCCACAGGACCTTGTGCAAGGGCTCCAATGTGACCAAGATGCCCATGTTCCTACAACAGCAGAATTCTTCTTCATCCTCTGCTGAAACATCTGATGCACCTGGAACAGATGAAAGACAATTCCTTTAAGCCAGAGGTATCTAAAATATAGTCTGTCGCCCATAACAACACAAAATAATACTCAAGTTACTGAGGGAGATGAAAATTTCTTACTTTATATTACAAACAATAACAGTTTTTATTTCCTGTGCCTGTCACAGGGCATGAGCAGGTAGAGTGAGCCAACTCCACAGTTTTAATCAACTGGTTATTCGCTTTGAATTAAAGCAATTTCAATGTAATGAGATTTGATGTATGCAGGACTGTAATCTTCCGCATTAAGACTCCATGTAACCCCATATGCGATTAGTAACATTTCGGAGAAACGCCAACTCTGATAGCAGAGAAACTATGTTCCTCCGAAACTTTGGTAACCCCCTGGGAAACAAAATGTCGTAACTCAGAAGGCCACAATCTACACACCCTCAGGTAGCACGCCGTTCATTGATGGAATTATTGAGTTTCGTCTAATTCTACAGCTTACGTTGAAAATGAAACACTCTTTAAACATTGGTAGGCTTAAGGTTTTTATACATGGACTAAAGTACGTATATGTTAACATGGACTAAAGTAGATATTTATACGGAATATATACTTAAGAGAAACGAAGTAAACTTAATGTGTCCCTGTCGCCTTACTTAAGCACCATGCTATGAAAACGTCTGGTGGAGGGGAGGTATAGCGCCACATATTTTTAACCTCAGCTGTAGGTGAAGATGAGTGGTTAGTTCCACCACCCGGTCGCTTTACTCCCGGGGAAAGTGGGTGCCCATTTGGTTACAACTTGAGTTCGCCCCAGAGTCGTATGGACGGTGTGGAGAAAAACGTCATAAACATACCGGAAATAGAAAAACGGTTTCTTGGTCTTAAATTCCACAGGCCTATCGATGGGCTAATTGTATATATATGGCTCTACGGTCCTTTCGTTGGACCTTGGCCACTTTTTCAGTTTCTTAATCCAGTATATAGTCTGCAGGACTCCTCGGACGAGGGATCAGACCGTCGCAAGGCCGCTACCTACACGCAGAACGGAAATACAGACATGCATGCTTTGAGTGGGATTTAATCCACGATCCCAGCGTTCAAGCGAGCGAAGACAGTTCATGTCTAAAGGGGTCCATACACGTACGAGTCTGGGTCGCGAGTTCGACTCGGCTCGGGGTCCAATGAGCCAAACTCATCCGTGTGTGGGTCGCAAAATTGGGAGTCAGCTCATATGTGTGTCATGAAATTAATTCGAGCCCGGCTCCCGAGTCAAGCTCACCGAGCCGGACTCGCGAGCCAGACTAGTACGTGTATGGGTCCCTTTAGACCTCGCGGTCACTGTTATCGGCTGTGGCTGACTTGAGTGAATGCAATTATGAAAATCTGAGTTATATGCAGACGGGATTCCTGTACTTGTGAATGCACACAACAGTTCAAAGAAGTGCCTGATCCTCGGAGTATACGTGTACGTGTATGTTTGCAGTTGAAGATGCAATGGCAGAAGCCCTTGACTATGGCTGGAAGCTCCAGTGAACACAGGCACGATAACCTGCGCCTATCCGGAGGCGAATGCTCCATTACTCAACCAGGGAAGATGAAAATGGCAGGTTTCACAATACGCAGGATGTGAGATGTCACAGAACGATTGTACTTAAACCATTTTATTCAGCGATCAAATTATAGGGCGCTGCTTGACGTTGTGTAATCTTAGGGCTCTCATTTCCATCACTCTGGGCCACAAAGGTTAAAGAGCTGCATCACATAAGCTTGTAGCAGCGCGGTGAGAGAATTACATAATTATGCATTCTTTCAACAAAATATATGAAAAGTGTACACACAAGCCTATGAAAAACGGGATCCGTTTGGGTTCAAGAACCGTATTTTAACGTAAACTTATCGTGAAGATTCTCGCTAAATTTGTCAATACATTTCAATTTTGATTGATATAGTACAGTAACAAGAACGATAACAATGATGATGATGATGATGATGATGATGGTGATGACGACGATAACCATTTACGCGTTCGCTATGTAGGCCATATGTCACCAAATATTCAGCCGGGGAAAAATTCTTGCTCCCAAATAAAATTTAGGGAATAGTAAGATGCACAATTTATATCATCAAACACATATGTTCTACATATTGGTAAGTCAATTACAAATTTTAAAAATACATGCATACTTTGAAACACGGCTTCTTTTTGTAACTGCGTCATGAATAAAAAGATGAAAAGGTAAGGCAATCCCTTTAACAGGCCGTCAAGGGCCATACAGCTGTGATGGCGTCGAGGCTCCTACATTTTCTCTAGACAATCGGCTCACAGATGGCTGTGCGGTTGTCAGCCTTACGTGCCGGCCGCCCTTTACCCCCTGAAGTTATTTGTCACGTGACATATACCAACACGTGACAATATTGTACAAAATTACTTTTATATACGAGTATTTTAGAAATCAAAGGTAATTTTAATATTGTAATTTTGATGTTTGTTTACCAAATTATTTTATGGTTCCCAAATTTATCCTGCACAAATGTTGGAAACAATGGTAATGTAGCATAAAAATAAATTAGATGACAGTATATACAAAAGGCTAAATCTCACTAAATCACACCCCCAATACCACTGTGCTACAGCCCACATAAAGTCTTCAAATCACACGCTAAATCCTCATAGGCTGACTTCTTGTACTCTTCCCGTGGTTATCTCCTACCGAGAACTGACTCGTCCCTGAACCGAACAAATACTGTCAGCTATGTAACCGGGGAACGGACACGCATCACAGGAAACAGTGTCACGTGACCACCACCTACAGCTGCGTGACGCCACCGCGGACGCGGAAAACACAGTCTCCTCTATTGTTGCGTGTTGAAGCGTGCTTACAGAGCTGCTACTTGGCAACGCGTTGATCAAATCCGTTACAATATATAACAATAAGAGCTAAATATGGGTTTTATGTTGCAGCCACGCTTAGCGTCCTGTAAAATACACCGCTGTCAAAATTAAATTATTGTTCTTATTTGTGTTCGTATTGCTGAAGACTTATTTCCACATAAAATGTGAGGACCTTACTTTGATCTGGTATCCCAACTCACAAGTTAGTACAGACGCCATGCTTGTATCATTTACGGTAAAATGTTAAAGAACACACAGCTTTCTACGTCATGAAACACATGTCAAGTCGCTTGAAATTTCGTCGGGGGTTCAATACTTAATACAAGCACACATACGAATATATGGACACTGAAATTTTACTTATCAAATCATGGAAGTAGGATAAACAGAACAACCAATGGGATTATTTCAGCAGGAGCCAGGTACACAAAATACAAAATAGGCATCAGATTTATATAGAAGTATTCTCACGATTAATCCTACTTTCACACACACACACACACACACACACACACACACACATGCTAATTTCAGAGATATCATATGTGCTGGGCTTTTGTAGTCATAAATCTACAAATCTGTTATATGCTCAATCAATTTAATGATAATGGAAGCTATATTAATTACTATAAGTGATTTTCGCAGATTCAAGTNCTGTCAAGTTAGTCTTGGTGCTGGAGCTAATCGGACTTGTCAGCCGTAATTTTCCTTTGTTTCCATCGCGCCAGATCGTTCCTCTTTCCTGAGAGATTTATGAAGATCAATTATATACATGGTGCACTGTCCTAGAGAATCGTTGGGTTCCTTCTAGAAAAAATACACAATATGTAATAGGCAAAACGTTGTCTCGGCGCTTAAACACTACGCCCTGAATATATGAGTATACGTAAGAGTCGAGATAGAGTTTCTTACATTCTTAACTCTGCACTACGTGGGGATGAGTTACCAGCTTCGCACGCTGACCGCTTGGAAACGGCTACTGGTAACGGTTGGGTAGGTTTGGTGGGCTTCATAAACGGTCTGGTTGCTGTGGAGAGAAACATAACTTGCCCTTGCAGTGAATCGAAGTTCTATTCCTCAATCGTCCAGCCCATAGCCGAGAGTCTGTATCAACTGAGCTAACCCGGTTTCTGCTGTTGTATTGTATTAATGTGGTTAAACTAAAAGAGGAATCCAAAGACTAAAGGCAATTATGGTTTACCTCACAAGCAACGTTGGCAGCACTGAAGAAGGTAACGGATTTAAATACTATTAGCTTTCCATCACTGAGACCTACATCATTTCGTTACGGACACTACTGTAACACATTTTAAAATGGCTGCCCCAGCAGTAGGCTGCAGCAAAGAAGAAATACGATCTGTGATTCCAGGGTGTGAAGAATACTGAAGGTTATGGAAGAATGGCGGCTCGGTGTTGCGACAGCCCTATGGGGCAGCGGCACACCAGCAAAATTTGAACATGTAAAACTGCATCAGAAACAAGTATCAGTGATGGAAACAAGTGTGCACCCCAGACGGTTATGTAACATGATGCATTGATCAGTAAACCAAATTCATAGCGATTTTGAAAACAGGCGCTACTGCTCAGCTGTATGTGTTGATATAAGCCAAGCCTTCGATAAAGTTTGGCACACAGGTTTATTATTCAAACTTAAGTACGTTCTGCCACATCCAATGTATTCCCTATTGAAGTCTTATCTTACCGACAGTACTTTTTTAGTTAAATACGACGAAGCCTATACCGAATTACACCCTGTGTTATCCGGAGCTCCACGGGGAAGTATCCTTGGGCCTATGCTATACTCCATATATAGCGGCCTTCGTAGTCTAGGGATAACGTTTCCACCTCATGACTCAAGATGCGCGGGTTCAAAGCCGGCGGAGGTCGTGGAATTTTTAAGGGCGGAAAAATTCAGGGAACAAGTCCTCCGGGAGGGACTTTAAGCCGTGTGTCCCGTGTCGTAAAAAATCCTCATGTGTCTAGGAGATCTCTGAGCAAAATTAGGCAAAGTTTCCCGCCCAAGTAGTTTCCAGTTCCTCCGGCAGATGGAGAAGTATCGGAAACCACTGCCAGAGCGAGCACCAGTACTGGAAGGCATGGCGACTGGTCGAATATCAAAGGGG